CACTGTCTCCACTGTTGTTCATTTTGGTTCTTGAGGTATTGAATAGAGACGTAAGACAAGATCAGAAAATTACGGGAGTTAAGATTAAAAAAGAAACTTGTAAGTTAAGGCCACTTGCGTATGATTTGGTGAGGATTAATGGACAGTTAGAAAAAAGCCATGGAAAACTATTGTAATATATGATTACTGTGGCGAGATTACTATATGCACAGAGATGGAAAGATTCGACACTACCCACTATGGGGGAATGTTTGGTAAAGTGAATAGATTTTGCTGAAATGGATAAATTGACTTCTTTGATTAGAGAGAAGACACTACATTTATTGGCGACTGGAAGCCTCTTACGGACTTGTGATTTATGGTTTTGATGATTGGACAGGATAGATTATAGAAAGAAGAGTTATATTATGTACCATTAGAGAGAGAGTTTAAAATATATTTGTACTTATAACTGCTGTGAAGAATGTCAGAAGCCACTTCTTTATGTTTTTTCTTTTCTATTTTTTCATAACTTCTTTTCTTGCACTTTTTGCTTTTTCTTTGCTTTTTCTTTTTCTTTTCTTCTTCTTTATATTAGTTTGTGTTTGTTTTTAGCCTCTTGTTTAAAAGCTTTAATAAAAATTATATTAAAAGGCCAAAGTGATTAAACAACTTCAAAGCAAGATGTAAATGTCCAGATCTGCTAGAGGTGCTTTTTCCTCTTGCTGACTTCACTTGGCCTCTGCTGGCCATTTGGCAACCTTCATGGCTTGCTCTTTTGGTGCTTTAGGTTCCAGTATCGTTGCTGAAGTATGCACCAAACACCGGGGGCCTCAGCTCACTGTTTGGCCCACAGCAAGTAGCCATGTTGAACCAACTCTCCCAGTTGAACCAACTCTCCCAGTTACAGGTAAGTGGACATCTGCCAGTCTGCTCCCCACCCATGAGACTAGTTTTCTGAATGAGGAGTTGTTGTCCTCCCTCTGACCGCTTTTGGAACCCTGGTTTACTGTCACAGCGATTGCTGGCCCAGCAGAGGAAAGTGCAGAGTCAGAGAAGCACGCCTGCCAGTGGCCGCCAGGAGCAGCAGCAGCAACAGGTAGGCTGTTGTGTGTGTGTGTGTGTGTGTGTGTGTGTGTGTGTGTGTGTGTGTGTGTG